GCCTCTGCCCCGAGAGGTGGCCCGCCGCGGGTGCGAAGAGGCCGCGCCCGATGCAGAGCCAGACGTCGAGCGCCGCGGGAAGCCGCCTGGTGTGGCTCTCATGCGGCTCGCCCCCACTGATGTGGACTGCTCCCACGGCGAGGGCGTGGATGTGCGGCCCCGCCGCTCGCAGCCCCGCACACGGTGTCTGAAGCCAAGCCTTGCGGGCTCCGCGCAAGGCTGAGCAACGACACCTCTGTCAACCGCCTGCGTCATCCAACAGTGCGTGGTGCAGAAGACGGCGTCGGCCTGCTACCCTTCAAGCGCGTGGCGGGCCCGCCGCGGTTTCCTCCTCTCAGCGGACTGGCCCTCCGCCTCAATGGCGTCGATGGTGGACTGTAGCAGCCGCCTCCTAACTAGAAGGGCCGTGTGTTCGACGCGAGCGACGCGCCCGCGGTCCTCCGCTGGAGGCCGCACCAGGCTGGCGGCGACCCTGGCGATCGTGTCCGCCACGGCGCTGCACTGCACGACCCAGTAGTCGGCTCCGAGGGCTGCGGCCTCCTCGGGGCCAATGTGCGAGAAGACATGGGAGACCACGAACTCGCTGCGCGGCCGTCGCGCGAACTCCTTGCCGATCAGCCGCCACGGGTCGGGGTCCCCGCCGCGCGGGGGCCTGGTCGTACCTGCCCCCCCAGCCCTCGGAGACCGCCAAGGTGTTGGACACGTACAGGGTGGGGCCAGCCGACCCCTGAACGGCAAGCAAGAGTGCTCGAAACTCGCCGCGGTGCACCGTCTGCGAGTGCCCAGCCAGGCCACCGAAACGGGCACTATAGTACACATCCGCTGCGGGAGTCGACCAGCGCGACGGCCAAGCCCGCACGCCAAAGAGCGGGGCTACGTCCGTCAGGGCCCCGCTGGCAACTCCGAAGAGCACGAGGGGGGGCAGCCAGGGTGCTTGTGCCAAGGGCCCCGGCCGCTGGAGACCGCCACCGCGAGTCAATGCCGATGCCAGTCCAAGCTTCCTGCACGAGCGGGTCGGGGACCTCGGTCCAGGAGCGCGGAATGATGCCTCGAAGCCGAGAGCCCGCGTTGGCACCGCCATTGGCGCGCGTGCTCCTGAAACGAAGTGGTCGCTCTCGGCGCACGCCTCCCCGCTGGTGTTGGCGGGGCTCGACCCGCACCAGTCGAAGGCCGACTCGACCTCGCCGCCACGGCGGGGGGGCAGAGGCCCTCCTCCTGCTCGCCGGGGGCCTCCTGCCTGAGCTGCCGCGGCCGGCAGCCTCCGACGGCGATGGCGGCCAGCATCTCCCCAGGGGCAGCTCCTCCCGGCAGCTGGCCCGGCGTGCGCAGCAGGCGCTGGCGGGACGTCGTGTCCGCGCCGCCCGCAGGCCCACCAGTGCCCGGCGGCCTGCTGCCAGAGGGCCTCCTGGGTGGTAGGACCGAAGGCCCTCAGCAGCTGCTCCGAGGACCCGTGGGTGATGCTGGTCGAGCCGGAGAAAGCCACCTCTCGCGTGAGGCGTCCGCGCACTGCCGCGCCCACCCCATCGGATCGACGGGGTTCCAGCCGTGCTGCAGCAGCCGGGTCGGGATGGAGCAGGTCGGGCCACGGACGCGGCGGACCCGCCGCCCAGGGTCAATTTCTCGTATGTGAGTGTGGGTTGGGAACCAAGTTTTCGATCCTCATGCGCACGGCCTGGCTGCACTGCCAGGTCAAAAGCCACAGGCTGAGCACCTTGCGGGGCAGCTGACGCGCGGGGTCGCGCCGTCCTGCACGCGGCGCCAGCTGCGAAGTCACGCAGCGGCCGCGTCGCGCAGCTCCTGAAAGTTCTCCAAGGCGACGACGGAGCTCCTGGAGCTTGCCGCCGAAAGTGCCGTAGATCTCTCGGCCGTAGATCTCGCTGCTGCCGAAAGGGCGGGAGCAGGGACAGGAATGGGAACGCAGCGGGGAGGAATGCATCGGATCAACAAGTGTGGGCCGCGCTGGAGCGCTGGCTCCACTCTGAACGACGGGAGTAAGGCGCCGACTCTGAAAGGTGGCCAACTCTGCAGCGGCACCAGACATCAGACTGTTGAAGCCCGATGCGTGAACGAAGCACTGCGCGGGAGAGGCGGGGGCAAATCAACCGAATACCAGGGGCAGACTCAGAGGATACTTGTCGCATTCGCACTGCGTAAGTATACGGAGAAGCGGAGAGAACTGGGGGGCGGAGGAGAGAAGAGGGAGGAGAGGAGCAGGAGGAGGAAGAGAAAGAAACATATAACATTAAAATAATACGAAAAGTATTATGAACAAAAAACAGAAGACGAGGAGGACGACGACGACGGCGACAGGAACGACGATGAGGAGGACAGGAAGACGAGGGTGAGAGATAGGAAAGGAAAGGGGGCAAATGCGGAGGACGACGAGGAGAAAAGGGTGGGCCACCAGGACGAGAACAGCGAAGAAGTCACGCCAAGACGGGGAGAGGGGCAATTACCAGAGCGCACGGACAACGAGAAGGATGCAAGACCGTCATCGCCGCCAGGCTCAGAGTCCGTCCTCCCTTGCTCGATCTCCATATCCCCCATATCCTCCTCGTCTTCGTCCTTCTCGTCCTCATCGTCTGCGCCATCATCGCCAGCGCCGTCACCGTCCTGTTGCCGCTGTGGCTCAAGCCACGTTGGCTCCAGGTTTCGAGGTTCCTCGTGGACGCTGCAGATGCCGCTGATCGAATCCGTGGCACGAGTTGAGACATTCTGTCAGCCCGCCCCTGCCAGAGCTGAGCTCTGGTCCGCCCCGGTGCGCGGCATCCCTCCATTCGACCAGCTCGCCCCAGTGAGGTTGGTCCGCGCTCCGAGCTGGCTTATAGGACCACGGCAACGTGCGCTCCGGGAGGCGACGTTCGTCCGCCGTCCGTGGGTGCATCGACGCGGGTGGAAACAGCAGCCACCACTCGCGTGCAACACGGAGTTCTTGCCAGTCCCCAGGGTGGGACCAAGTGGCGAAGCCATTTCCAAGCGGGATGTTTGGCGGGGAGCCGCCGGGGCAAACCGATGGTGGAGCGCAGCGCGCGCGGGAAGAAGCTCTTCCAGAACCGCCCCAAGTCCAAGGGGTGGACGTTCGAGCGTGGCACTCAGGGTTCGGCCTACGACGCGGTATCTCCCCAGCCTGACCACCGCCGCGCATGCGATGATGGTGGCGCTGGGCAGTCCGACGAGCCGCGCAGATCAGGCGGCTTGCTTCGCTCCCCTTGGGATGACCGAGGCAACAGCAAACGTGCCCCCTGCAGTCCTGGGCGACCCCCCGCCGAAGCAGCCCGTGCCGCCAGCGCCGGAGCCCCAACAAGCTACGGCACAGCTTGGTAGAGCATGCAAGCAGCTGGATATATCCAAGTCAGCATGGATCCGCACGAGGCGAGAGCATAAGAAGGCCGAGCAGGACCATCGATAATAAACGGATGCAGTTGTCACGGTGGAGGTCGATGAGATCGCGGCGGCCAAGCTTCACCTCCCGGCAGCGGCAGCCGCGCCAGGGCGTAAGACAGCAGTTGCAGTCGGCGTCTTGCAGGCGATAGAGGGCAAGTTCGTATTGGGCATTAATGTTGCGGACACGGTGGAAGGATTGGAGGCCATGGGGGGAGGTCGCAGTGTTCGCGAGTGCCGAGGACCCCCTGCGATCACATTAGTCAGAAGTAGCTAAGGCACCCCAGGGCGGACCCCAGCTCAAGACCGACGAGAACAAGGCGCAGCCCGAGGAAGTGGTGGAGCGCGCGAAGAAGAAGTACGAGGTGCAGAGAGAAAGGCCAACCTCGGCTCCATCAGCTGGACCAGGTGGAGCGACAGCATCTCCGAGCGCCCCGGGGCCCGAGCTCGCTGCAGCAGCAAGGGCGGGGGCGGACGTAGACCCCGCGCCAGCCCGCTTCGAGCGCGAGGTGGGCAACCTGGCTGGGGGGTTCAAGGGCAGGGGCAGGGGAGGGGGGGGAAGGGCGCGACTTTTGACCCTGGTTCGCACGGACTTCATGAGCAGCACATGAAGAGCCCCTCTGGGCGGGGCCCTCCGTCGCGCGGCCTGCTGTGCAATATTTCCAGAACTGCGCCCCTGCCAGATGAGCGCCATGTGGTCGCGCGCGAGCGGGGCCGAGCAGGGCGCGGGGCCCCCGCGGCCCCGTCGCCCCAGGCGCGAGAAGCGCAGCAAGCAGGGGGCACCGCGGCAGGGGCGAAGAAGAGATACCAATTCCCATATGACAGGCCCACGGCCAACATGTCGCCGCAGCAGATGGGCCACGGCGTGGTGAAACCAGAAGGCGCTAAATTGATTGGGATCAACTTCCAAGCTGCCGCGGCCTTCCCATGCGGAGGCCAGTTGATCGCCATCGCCGACGCCTATCTCACAGCCAGCGCAGACATGGCGGGCACCAGCATGGACGAGCTGATCCAGGATTGCAGCGCCGAGCCGAAGGAGTAGCAGCGGGCGGGCTGGACGAAGCCAGTTGACGGCTTGATTTGTGAATCGGACAACGCCTGCGCCCTTCACGCGTTGACAGACTCGCGGTCGACGTCAGGGTCGTTGACGACGCGCGTTTCGGAGCAGGTAAATCGCGTTTTGGATCGGAGCTCAAGCTGGAGATAAAACTGGTGGAGGCATCGAAATGGGCGCTGCCGCCGGCAGGGGCCCCCCCCGTGCGCCGGCGCCGCAGCGCACCAAAGGCCCGAGCGGCAAAAGGCCCAGGGACCTCTGGCTTCGGCAGCAGCAACCATCTGGAACAGCAGAAGCGGAGCCAGGGCCGGCGCGGCACCCCGCCCCCCACCCCACCCACCCACTTAGACAGCGTAGCGAGCATGAGTTCCAAGTCCCCACCCACGCCCAGCCACTTGAACGTAGACTTCGAGGAATTTGAATGCGAGGACCAGGGCCGCGCAAGGGGGGGCCAGCGCTAGCGCCCCAGTGCCAGCGCTTGCGGAGCTGGAACCTGGGCCAGGTCGCCGCGCGCTGGAGTCGGATCGGGTCAGCGCTATCACCCCAGGACCAGCGCCTGCTGAGCCGAGTCCCGGGCCAGCGTCGCCGCGCGCAGCGTCGGTGCGGAGTCAGCGCCAGTGCCCCAGGGCCAGCGCCTGCCGAGCCAGGCCCCGGGTCATCGTCGCCACGCGCTGGAGTATATGAAAAGGACGGCGAGCAGGCGGCGCGACGCAGCCGATTGCTCAGCGCACCGCTGGCAGAGCAGGACGCCCACTGGGAGCAGCTGCCGAACGCGGCCCCGAAGGAGAACATCCCAGACTACGCTAAGAACCTTCGCCTTCGGCTCGGATGAGCCCGCCGCCAGGGAAGCGAACCCAGTCTTCGGGGGCTCTGTGGGGGCTTGAGGCCCACGAGGGCCATGTTGTTTCTTCGAGAGGCCCCGCGGCCACTGCGTGGGCTACCCTTAATAGTTGCGCCTTCGGATCTGGCGGCCTTTCTCGGGGGTCGCAAGCTGCGTGGGCCTTAGAGACTGCCCGAGCAAGTCCGAAGCACGACAACGCCCGCGCCAGTCGCACCGCCGCTGCATACTAGCGCCGGGATCAGAGCTAAGCGGATTCGGAGCCTAGCGTTCACGGGGAAGCGCCAGGCCAGGTTATCGGAGATTTCGAAGCCACCGCCAGAAGAAACAGCGCTGGGGCCCAGCGAGCAGCGACGCGCGCCACAGTTTACAAGTTCGACGAGTGGGCCACGCATCAGGGCCGCGCTGGGGGCAAGGGCCCGCGCAATCGCATTAGGGATAGGACGGCGCTCGCGTGGCGGGGGGGGCTGGGCGAGGGGGGGCTCCGCGCTCGAACCTTGCAGTTCGCGGCCGTCGATGCCGAGCCCTGGGCGCGCGAGCGGGCTGGGGGCACTTCCAGCTCCCCCGAGCCCGAGCTTTTCGGCTCACAGCAGGGCCAGGGACAACCCCGGGCCCCCCGCCGTCGCC